TAAAAAGCCAAAATGTTTAACCGATGCTGAACTGAAACTGGAAGGGGTAGCAACGGTGTTTGATTAACAATGGCAGGACTTCGTGACAGCACATCCACTGATATTGGTTTTGTTGCAGCAACCATGTCTCCACGCCCGCCCACAATTTGCCTATGGGGGAATGGCTGTTCTGTAGATTGAAGTAAATGCTCCGTTCCCAAGAACTGATGTGAAGTGAACAATGGACTCTGATTGACAGGAGAAAGACTGGGGTTCTCAACCGGTAACTCATAAGATGTGAACTGGGTCGGCTGGCTAAATGCAGAGTCATAGACTTTGCCAAAAACCTGGGAACCAGTGGAGCAACTGCCCTGAATAGATGCAGGAAACGATGACAGGCTGATTGGTGCAGACGCAGATAGTAGTGGTTGAGCAACGAATGAAGAATTGGCATATGGCGGGTTAGCAAGAGGATCAGATGCACGTGTAACAAGATGTGATGTATCATTGACAATTCCCAGAATTGGGGAGGAATAAGGATCCGTCAGGGGCAGCTGTTCCTGCATCACTGGGGGAGAGGAAACAGGTTTGTGCATCATAGGAAGACAACCACTGGCTGGAGCTCCTATATGTCCTTGCATAAATGAAGGCATAGGCATAGAAGAAACAAAATTGGTTTGAGTAGCCTGAAAATTATTTGATGGACCAATCAAGGTTGGCAATGATTCTATCAGACTCCTTGCATCAGCTGATGATGGAGGCGAAAAGCTTAAAGGCGCTGCTAGATGTTGTGTAGCAGGAAAAGGTTTACTGGTCACAGCAGGCGTATCCATCCATTCTGGTGATTTGACCAAACCGCAACTGTCAACGGAACCAGGATCCGATGGAATCATAGCTGGCTGAGAATAACCTGGCTGCAAACAGAGCAAAGAAGACAAAGATGGAGCAAACAATGAAACATAACACTTGCTAATCATCAGAGGACAGCTAATCATCCACTCTCTGAGTGCTACTACCTGAGTGATATCTTGGCCCCTCGGAATCTCCTGTTTTGACTGTGCAGACGGAGGGGATTTTACTTGTAGATCCTGGGAATGACATACAATAAAACATAACATATATCATAGTCCATATTCAAAATAAGACGTATCTAAGCTTCATGTTATCTTAAAAACTAGCTCAATACAATGAAAACCAAATAGGATGACAAGACTAGAAAGTTTTCTTTTAACAAATTTCAAGAATTTGAAACTTGAAAGAAGAAACACAGAAGTATGAAATGCTAACCTTGATATCATTTCCACGAAAAAGAATGTACTCGTACACCTTATCACTTGGAGGAATTTGAGGACCATCTTTCTTCCTCCCCTCTGTGCCACATGACCTTACTGCACAATCAATTTAAAAAGAAAAACCATGTCCAGGATCGTCAACTCACAGCAAATACAACAGTTACCCGCTAGGGTCTGGTTCTCAAACATGTTACCAGATTTAGCTCGGAATACAAAAAAAAACGATTATGTTTCAGTTTGACTAAACATTGTGGTAGCAGCAAACAAAACCCACAGGCAAACTCATCCATAAATATCTTCATAACAATTCCAACAAAAACCCGTATAAACATCAATGCCGTTCCAAAAGGATATTTAAGAGCAAATACAAATACCACCTATCAAACTTCCATTAGATTCTCATGAAACTACTCGAAAGCACATTTGTAAAGCAACTTCCGGAAAAAGGAACGAAGAAAAAAAATCGAAAGAAACTATCGCAGAATCACAAATCCAACTTATATAAGTGAAAACTTAAGAAGCAACGACATAGTACAGTATTCCACAAGAACAGCAATGACTACAGTGAAACCCTAATTCATCATATAACAAGCATATTTCGCACAAACCTACACAAAACCAAAGAATAAAAACCGATGAGTAAAACAGGAACAGAAGATTTGGAAACCGTACCGTTCTTGAGACCAAGCGTGGAATCACCAGGGTTAAGATAATAAAGAACACCTTCATATCGGATCTCGTACTTGGATATCAGACTGATGAAGCTCCCGATGTACGACTCGCCGGCGCTGCTTCCCGCTGCCGGAGGAGATGACGGCGACGAAGAAGATGACGGTTGCGGAGGCTCGCTCGCCATCGTTCTTCAAGGTTTTTGGGAGGATTTCTCCGGTAGAATGCTTTGTCGGAAAAAGTGAAGGAAGCACGAATCTGAAAGGAGCGGTTAGTGCGAAAATCGAAAATGTTTGAGCTCTTTCGAATTTTATTTTTGCTATGTGGAAAAGATCTGCGAAGTCGGTCCCTCTACATGGTATTTATAGGGGTAGATCTACGTGCCGTTGGACCATCTGTGGGTTAGTTTGGGCCTTTTTGAGGCCCAATATGTGGAATACTTTTTTTTATTAATAGTATAATTTTTCTTTTTAACTATCGATATCATTAAAAAAGATTCACACCTTCTCTCTTTAATTTTATGAACATGTACACGTTGATTGATTTATTAATAATATTATCTAGGGTTTGGGAGTTTTGGTATGGTTTTCCGGAATAAAATAGTATCAAACCGATACTGTTTTGAATCGAACCCTCAAAATTCTCGATAAAACAGAATTTTTTAAATTTGAACCCATTTTTGAAAAAAATCTAAAAAGCCAAAATGTTTAACCGAAATCGAATAAAATCGAATATATTATAATAATCAATTAGTATATATTTTTTATAAAATCGAAAGAAACAAAGTGAATATCGAAACGACCGCCTCTAATATTATCCTCTCACAAGAAAGTTAGAAAATATCAATATGGCCCTTTATTTCTTATATCATTACTTATAATTGGGGAATTTATAAATTTTCATTAACCATTGTTTTTTCAAAGAGTAAAAAGATATTATTTGATCATAAAAAGATTGCAGACCCAACCATTAGAATTTCTAATTTTCCATTTTAGTGACTTTATTGTTTAGTGATGGTCTTTATGGGCTCAAGTCACTCTTGTGTTGGGCTTGCAACATCACTTGATCATTCCCTATTTTGAGACATAGATAGATGTCACAAAAAAGGATGAACAAGAGTGGAAATATTGCCCTATTTGGGACATACGCATAGAATGGACTTTAAACATAATAAATATGTCCATTTTTAAGTTGAAAAAAATAATAACAATTGTAACTTTATATACACTTGATTATTCCTCTTCTTTCTTTTCCCCATTTGGGAAATTCCCTAACGAAAACTTGAATTTGAGATTTCGCTATTCCGTATTCTCCTCTCACCAAAAATTTTTTGGAGAAAAAAAAAAGTTGTAAATTCTTCCTTTATCTTCTTGGGTTTTTCTTCCATTGGCCGAGGAAAATGTTTCCTTCCACAAATCGGGTGAAGGCTGAGGGGCGTTTTGGTAATTCTAGATGTATACTTAGGGCTTCCGGCCCAATACGATGGGAAGCCCGTTCTGCGGAAGAGCGA